CATTGTAAAAAGGGCGGTAGAGATCCGCTATGCAATTTTTTCAAAATTCATTAAATGAACAGAACCCGGTGAAATGTTGTGAATAAAATAAACAAAAGTTTTACTATGTATAACCAATAAAACCTAATGTGACAAAAATAATTTCATTGAAATGTTTTGAAGGAAACCAAATGCACAGACATTTCTTTGTGCAAGATCTGAATACATCACATCAAGTGCTTTTATTCATATCGCTGCAATGTCAAGTAGTGTTTCGCATTTACTATCAATACGTGAAAGTTTCTAAACATAAATTACACACACACATATATATCTACACACACACACACACACACCTTCATACTTCCTCATTCAGAAAGAGTTTAAGAATATTCTGGTATCCAGATAAATTTAGCACTCAGGTTTTCTTCACATCTTAGTGGAGTGAATAGTGAAATGAAAAACATGTGATTTCATACTATATCATAGCCAGCTCCGATGACAATCTTTAGCATAGTCTATTTTTGAAATGTATGCTAATTATATGGGCAATAATTTTTTTTAACTTTTACGTTTCCTTGGTAACTGCCGTGAGTTCAAATTGACCAACTTCGCACTCCTTATATTACCATACGCTCTTCTTTACTTCCACTCCGAAGTTCTTATTAATATATATATGTGTATACATTAATCCTCAATTATTACTGAATTACCTATGTAAGGGTTTTATAGTTCTTCTTACCTTGTTATAATAGTCCACGGGTGGAGGTTGGTTATTTTACAATTGCAGAAATTAAAGGAAGTTTTTAATAATGCAAAAGAGCTACTCCGATGTTACGTTTGACATCTTTTTAATGTTTTTTTAGGGGTGGCTACTATACTTACAACCGGCTGTGAACGGTGAATGGTAGTAGATTTTGGTACGTTATATGTTATATCACCCCATACCTAACTCCTAGTTGATTTTTATTGGCTAGCTGTCTTGTTGTTCACCTGTTTTCTTTTACTTTATGTCTGACGCTTTTGGGAGATATTGCTCTAAATATTTTATTTAAAAAAAAATATATCTTTTGCTATACATTGAAATTCTGAATTTTGCTTTGAGCGACAATTTTAATTTTGAGTTTCACTTTCAATATTTTGGTTTTGCTTTTTATATATATTTTTTTCATCATTGTTATGTATTAGTGAATTTTCACGTGCGTACTATCGACGCACTTTACACAACTAGATTGTTTATTTATATGTGTGTGTGTGAACTGTGAAATGAAGACTTGATTTCATACTTTACTACAGTCAAGCTTTGCAATAGCAAAAATTTCTAGTGTAATCTGTATTAAATATATTTGCTACTAGTTTTTTAAAAGTTTGTTTTAACCTTTAGTTTATCTCTGAAATTACCGTGACTTCAAACTGAATTGACAAATGATCTACGTATGTTCTGTGCACACAGACTTCGCACTTCTTATCAACAAAAATCAGTGGACTGCTTGGGTCAAGGACAAGTGATATCTGCATTTCAAATACTGGAAATAAGCCTCTGCATGTAGTAAAATCAAACATAAGAATAAAACGTCTGAAAAGTGTTTACAATTTTGCTTGTCACCCCAAAATATTAATGTTGATGTTTTAGTGAGTTTTAAGAGACATATATATGGTAATATGTTATTAAAGTTTATATTTTTACATGCATTCTAACTACATCTTCTTATTGGCATGATAAAAGTAGTATTCATTATGCACCTATGCATCTTTTATTTTATTTTTTATAATTACACATAGGTAACTAATTCAGAATTAAACAACAAACATTAACTTCTATTCAGGTAACTTAAAATACCACCAATTAGGAAATATCTTACTCTTTCCTATTACAACTTTGGGTAATATGTATTCGTGAATTTATCATTAAGTTTACGGGACCAAGTGGCCCTGGGAAGGAAAGGAAGGAAAAAAAGAGAGAAAGAGACAGAAAAGTTAGTAATGGTAAAAGGATTGAAGATGAATTTAGTAATGGTAGTGGCAAGCCCGTAGCCAGGGGGTGTTGGGGGGGGGGGCGAACGAATCCCCCACTCTTGCCGGAGTTCCGCTCGCCTGTTAACATTATTATTTTTTTTCCGTTTTTGATGATGGCCCTCTCATTATATAATTGCTTTTGTAACAATGCGCATACATGCGGAAATAGCATTTTCATACTTTTCAGAGAAAATTTACTAGAAATATTTATTTGCAGTGATAATAAAGGAACCATTACATATTTCGAAAATTTTTTTTCGTTCCTGGGCACTAAAGTTACAGCTGAAACGAGTTTCACTTTGGACCGAAAAGAGAACCCCACCTGGCTACGGGTTTGGGTGGTGGTGGAATAGGGATGAAGGTGAGGTGGGAAAGGGGAATAGGTAAAAACAGTAGGATTATATCTGGAAAAGAAAACTTTGAAAGAGAGAAAATTGTGCCAGTGCTTTGGCCGATAGGAGGCACATGGGGGGGAGGACGCTGGGGTGTCTCCAGGGCCCGGAATATCTGTGACGGGCCCTGGTAAGGACGCAGGTAAGGTATATTATCTACATCTGTGACGTAGAACCAACAACTGCCTTAGACAAGGTGTTCAGAATTTATGAATTTTGTCGATTTTTACATTTTGTAACAGCGAAGATAAATAACATAAAACACGTTTATTACAAAATCTATGACGTAGTAATATTTTTAGATACAGTATAATCGAAATAATGGACTGAGCCGTGAGTTGGTCAAATGATTTAACCTACCGGACTGCGGATCTAAAGGCTCCAGGTTCGAGCTTGCGACATGCAATCGAAGACGCTCTGCACATTCATACTTGTGAGCGTTTTACAAAGAACTGTTAATCTCGCCATTCGGCCAAGAGTAACCGTGTAGAGCGGCCAGTGCTGCTAACTGCTTTCTCTCCATCTGCTCTGCAGTTCTAAATTAGAAACTGCTACGCGTGGAAAGTGGGACTTGGCCGCTTAGGAAAATATGCTGCTCAAGTTCAAAATACCAAATTCTGAAACAATTACAATCTCATGGATTTTCGTAAGCTACCTTTATTTTATGAGATGAACTATAGTTTGGTATAGAAGGGGCGGTTATAGCGGTGGAATTTTAAACCGGCTGGTTCGGCCAACCCTGTTATTAGTGCGATTAAGACACCAACGTAAATCTGTCTGCACTCTTAACAGAGAGGTAGGTGCTTCGAGACCCAGACGCCCCTTATCACTCAGAGAGAAATATTCCGTCAAAAAATCCCGCCGTACTAAAGCGTCGCATACATGAATTATCGTAAAAAAGATATACTTATTATTCTCTACAAACAGTACGACTACACATGACCTTCTAACGTGTAATTTGTAATTTCATATCGCTGGGTGTATACTACAAAATCATTTTTTTCGTCTTCTGTTGTTAATCTGGGATGGTTAATTACTCAAATAGTTACCATAAACTGCCAAAGTTAAGTACTTAATACATTTCCGTCTTGTGTATATATATTAAGACAGACCAAAAAGTAACTAATACTAAAAACAAAATTGAAAACGTGATCAAATAACAGTCACAGGTGGCGATAAAATACCAGCACGTTTTCTATAATGGTAGACAAAATTTTGTTTTATAAATAATAATTCCGTTTCTAGTCAAGCCAACATACTTATGGTGTTTTACTTGTTTAGTCGGCATAACGAAACTGGGAATTTATGATGACATATATTCATAGATTTTTTTAATAATTCAACTCAAAATTATCTTTAAATCTAACTCTTACTTCCTTTATGTGCGTCTTTCGATTAGCCATACGTAATGTATATATAGATATTCCAATTAAATTACCTTTTATTTATTTGCATTACTTTATTCCATATTAACATATCCTAATCAGCTATGTCATGGTGACTTCACTTATTCTAAGTTCTTATAATAAGGTGATGAACAAGTTAGAACTCAATGTGACACTGGAATTCATTATTTTCGAATGTATCTTTATCATTCTGTATATAAATATTTTTATAAATAACGTTTAGAATATTAAAAAACAGTATCTGTATGTCTATATATATATATATATATGTGTGTGTGTGTGTGTGTGTGTGTGTGTGTGTGTTGAACAAAAAAAATGGCACTTTCTTAAAGATATGCCTATTGTTCCCCAAATGTTAAATGGAGTAGAACCTCAGCTGACTGATTAATTTGTTATTCCAATGATGTCTTAGACAGGTGACCTGTATTATTTAAACATATTTCAGTTCTATTCCGCGTCTGTTATAGAACAACGTGGGGAAGAATGATTATTAAACTGACTTTCAAAAGAGGAGAAATCGTAATAGCCCTATTGATATATGCTTTAGTTACTCAAACTGCACAATTTTTTGGCTTTCAAAGAGGAACAGTATCAATGGTTATTATTACACGGCGATTATCTCAGAAGTTTCGTCAGCTAAACAGTGGTTGAAAGATAATCAGGGATGAAAGAAACCGGCGTACATTATGTCAAATTCTGATCTCGAAGAATGAAACCTGATTCCTGATTCAGGGAATACAGATGCCTTAACATAAATAACAGAAGCAGTAATAACAGCGGAATACTGAACCATATCTTTTTAACCCGCTTCTTTTTTATGTATTGATTCGGAATTTAAAGCATATAGAATGCATATAATTATCAATAATGTATATATGGGACATCATATTTAATAAAAGCTACATACACCGTAGTAAATATACGCGATCAAACTTTCAGGTCATTCTCATCTTATTTGTATAAAACATTAGTAGAATCTCCCCTGTGTTATCTACACTTTAACAAAGCTCGATTGTGGTGTATTACAAAGATGCTACAATGTTTTTACTAATAAACTTCATAAAAATACTTATCTAGCCCAGTTATTTTCATGTATTGTTCTGGACTGCTGATGACTGGAAAATTCACCAACACATTTTAACTTTTTTTAATATTACTTTATCACAAACTAAGATTGATTCAAAGTTACAAACATACTCATACTCACAACTTCGGTATTACACTCTAAGCGTTACAAATTATTGAGTCACAAACATTAGACAGGGCACTGCATTACCTACAGTAAAAACAAAACAAAGAAAATAATTAGACGTTGGTGCTCGTATAGGCCACTAATCATGACGAGGAAATACTTTTTTTTTCCTCGACGAGGTAGTATGTCGATACGAACATACACACACTAGAGAAATGTTTGTACAAATTTAAAAGATGTTTACCTGGTCACATTATATCTCAGGCATATATTACATGTACTTACATACACTGACACATAACGAAACAGCTTCCTGCTGTGGTGAATGTAAGTTCAGCATGCACGTGCTTCGTGTGACACTGATAAATTACTCTTTCTGAACATGTGGTCATAGCGGTGTAAAATGTACACACATAACAGAGAATAGTAACATAACCCCTCGGCACATAACTTGAACACAGAAATTAAAAGTGCGTGCGCGAGATAATGGAAATAGTACTGATTTTTTTACCCAACTACTCAACACTTGCTAACATTGTGATATATGACTATTGAAGAAAAAGATTTGGCATGGAAGAGATTTTGTAATTGGTATATTTTGTTTGACTGTCACCTAGTTTCTCACAAAAAAAATAAAAAATACATGGTTACAAGATGCCCAGTTTCGATCTGGATAATACAACCAAACCAGTCAATATACTTATTGGTTTGTTTGTTTGTAGTTAACCGCAAACCTACACAATGAGCTATCTGTGCTTGCCTACCACGGGTATCGAAACCCGGTTACTCGCGTTATAATTCCACAGACATGCTGCTGTGCTACTGGGGGAGGATTAATTATTGGACTTATCATTAGAATCACTTTCTATACGAGCAGTGGTATAACGGTAAAATGTTGTGTTTAGGAGCGTTAGCTATATCCTAATAAATATCCTGCCTTTGAATTATACGTGCTCACGTAGACAGCATTTCACGCATTTCATATGTTTATAAATTGCCAGCCACTTATCGGGCATATCTGAGTCATAAAAACACATTTGATATATTATCCGTAGTTTATATAGCATCGCCACACCATAAGAGATAAATAGCCATATTATTCTTGTACATTTGTAAATCATAATGTTAAACATACAGTGATTTTAATATTTTCAAATACAGTATTCTAACCACACAAGTGCGATACTAGAAAATACTATATCTTCAATTTGAAAAGTTTGTTTTACAATTACATGTACTTATTTTAATCACACAAGTACAGGATCGGTGTTCCGGTCAGGCCCTGCACCACACTACTGATTGACAGGTGAGGTCAGTTCTTTCGTTACGAACGAACTACGCAAGGTGAACTCGTCTATGCAATATTGATCACCCAGGTATTCTTTGTACTGACAGGTGTTCATTGTTGGTCTAGTGAGGGCAATGACAAGAAATGTGATCAATGTATTTCAAGTTCTACTTCGTGTACTTTGAGATAGCGTTCCAATTTGTAATGCATATTTAAATCACCTGACATACCTTAACTAATGGAGTAATACAGTGCTAAGTAAAATATCAAAAATGATAACCAGAACTTAATACATCGTGATAACATAAACACCATAGTGCACAGCACGACAACTATCCAGGAAGTACGTTACGTTAAGAACATACAGATATTTCTATATTTTGTTATCATTTACTCTTCAAACAGTCTCAAACCTTCTCAAGTTGAAATGCTACCTGATAGAATTATCGGTGCTAAACAAACTCTACAGAAGATTCGTTGTATAATAATAATGATAGATATAATTTTTAAAAGAAAATATAAAACATTACAAGAGATTGCAAAATGCAGAATCCTCAAATTAGTAAACCTCACCTTATGGAAACGTGGTCTGGTTTGGCTTTGAATTTCGCCCAAAGCTACAGAGGGCTAACAGTTCCTAGTTTAGTAGTGATAGACTAGAAGGAAGACAGCTATTCAACACGACCCACCGCCAACCCGTGGACTAGTTTTTACTATCGAATAGTGGGACTGACCATCACATTATAAACACCCCCACGGCTTAGAGGACGAGCATGTTCAGTAAGGGGGATTCGAACCCGCGCCCCGCAAATTGTGAGTCGAGTACCTTAATCACCAGGCCATGAAAACACACACACGCACACAAATAAAAAAAATTGTATTCTGTCGAATTAAATTGAAGATTTTGGTTTTTAAGATACAAGTTGATAACACCTTCATAGTGTTCAATGAAAAAGTCACGCAGAGAAGATTCTTATATTTTTAAATTCAAATGCTTCAAGCATAAATTTCACATTAGAAGAACAGATTGCTCACTCTTATTGCTGAGTCGCAGATGAAGTGGGATCACATATTCTCTGTGATGCTTTGAAATGCGACTTTTGATAAAAAAACTTACAATTTTAAAACCATCGATACTGCAGGCTTTGAATGTAAACGGAGAAAAAAAAATATATCGAATAGCTGAAACCGGTTCATAACAAGAACCAGTTTCAGTATTAGAACGGATTTAATTGATGGAATGTTTGAGAAAATGATGGATTGGTGTAACAACTAAGAATACGTAACAATATTTTATATCTACTACATCCAGTGCCGACGAGGTCTTTAGACCTATAAATAATAATAATAATCCCTATAGACTCCCACTGGAGAATACGGCCCCAACAACACCTCGCCGACGGAAGTTGTTGTTGCAGTAATTTTTTAGCAGGTTGGTTTTTACGGGGCGGAGTTGCTAGCTCCGCGCCCAACCCTTCTCCTTTCTCATCCTGGACTTGGGACCAGGCAATGGTGGTGGCATCCCTGCCGGGGTACGAACCCGGTACCTTTGGATTAGAAATCCAACGCGCTATCCACTGCGCTATAGCGACGCGTTCAGATCTGTACCAGGGCTTATTATGCCAGCTGGGATACGACAGACATAGTAGTGGGCTAGGCGCTATTTATATCATTAGTTGAATCAATAACAACTGTAACGATGCGAATTAGATTAAGTAAGTGAAGCGTAATCATTATCAATTATATTTAGATAATTTATTAAACCGAATTATGCTAGGGAATAATAACACAATATAATTTATCTTTTAACACCAATTACTTATTATTACTATATTTATCTGAATTAACTTTAACATCATTCAGAACACCGGAATTGAACGTTTTCAACATGAACGACAACTTAAACGCATACGAGTTAAACGGTCATGTCAGAGTACCTTGATGTTCAGGTATAGCATCTCTAATTTTGAACTGCTGATCAGACGTAGGCAGAAATCCAGCTGCACAGAAAACCAAACCCCAAAATACGTTAACCACGAGACACAAAGTTCTGTCTTGTAATTTGCTGTTAAAAATATTACATGTTTTTTTCACAGCTAGAAATAAAAAGACGTAAATACATTTTATTTTCCATCGAAGTTTAATGTTTAAATTAATTTTTTTGCAAATCAGGGGCGTGATGTATGTTATGTAATCTCATACACAAAATATTGATTATTCAGCCTACCATCGTAAATGACATATAGACCGACCTTATGAAGTAGGTCTCTAATAGTCTGCACACTGGCACAACGTAGAGGTGCGACTGTGAACATCTGATTCAGTCTCAGAGTAAGCATCATACGGTTGCAATGAGACAGAATCGATAGCTAGCGGCCGTCTGCTTGCGTTGTAGATAGTGTTCTGTCTTATCCAGCTGTTCGAGCACCTGTACCATTGACGGGGAAACTTCTAGGTTCTGCTTATGACATTTTAACAAATACTTAAAAACCTGCTTTGATTGACCGGTTTCCATTCTTGGATGAGTTCCACTTTGAGGTCCGGCTTTGTAATATCTATATTACAGTCTTGGCCAAAATGTTTGCATATTTTGAACAAATTCGATCATTATTATTAAGATGAAATACAAATACAGTCAGTGCTGTCAAACTGAAAAATGCATGTTATATTAAACATCTACATATGTAATTAGTATATTGAGACAGGTTCTATGGACATTACGAACGATGTATTAGAACAGCAAACAATTTTATCAGACACCTGTAAAAAGATGTGTAATTCAGCACTTCACCTATCACAACAGAACCTTACCAAAACATATATAATGAGAAAATATAACATCAAATTATTACAAATAGCGTCTGTAACCTTATATCAGTTCATATTAAACATTCAGTACTTGGTTGGTCGTCGTCGTACTCTAATAACCTCCGAAAGGCGACGTGGCATGCTGTGATGAGGTTATTGTTGTAATACACTGTGATTTCATCCCAACTTATCACTATAAGGCGCTATAACTCACCTACAATAGGTGGTTTAACGTTGTGGTTAGCTATTTTCCGGCTCAGTTCTGCTCAACAGTTCTCAATCTGAAGACTTCGCTGGCAATGGCAGTATTGTAACGTCCTCCTGGTCGAGATTATTCGGTGCAATACGCGCACTGTGAGCAGTGACATTGTCCTATTGGAGCACAAAGTTATTGCCAAACTTTGTCCTAGCATATGGCATAAATATCGTTTCCATGTGATTCCTGTAGGAGGCACCATTTACGTTTCCCTGGGGAATATGAAGGGCAGTTTTTCCACCATTAGAAATAGCTGCTCAAACATGTCCTGCACCACCTCCTGTGTGGTCTCTGTAGGAAAGACAGCTCTCTCTCATCCGTTCTCAAGGCAAACGAAGAACACGAATCCTACCACCAGCTTTAACAAGCCGGAAAAAAACTGATATGAAAAAATGACATGTCACCAGTGTCCTAACTATAAGTTTGTACCCTGTCTTGTACATGTAACACGGTGACAGCAGTAAATGCTGATTAATGTCGGTTTGCAGAGAGCCTTTCTTACAAAATAACCTTGTTTGGTCAGTTTCCTATTCACTGTTCTTCTGGATACACTGGAATGAATGTGTTCATGCCATTCCTGTCGTTAGGTGTTGGAAGACTTCTTTCAACCCTGACGTGTTAACCTGAACAAAACATGGTCATCACAACAGTAATTTTTCGGCGTCTACAAGTAGTCTTTCCTGGTACAACGTTTCCTGTAATCTGATGAC